TCCCACATACAGACCGGCCACTCACTGGCTGAGCAAGGCGCGGGCGCAGCACCGAGGGTTGCGATCCTGTTGCCGGTCCCAGTCCGGTACGGGCGCGACACTGAGGGTTGCGATCCGTTGCCGGTCACGAAAAAAGACAAAAAGGAAAAAAAAAAAAAAAGAATACACATGTTAGTCCAGGCACAAATGGGCCAGTGGGTGGAAATTATGTGGAGGCTGTTTTTACTATATGACCCCAAAATTTTAACCACAAGGCTCACAGACACTGTTAGGGCTCCTCAAGAAGTTGTGAGATTCCTGGCCCTGGAGGTGTTGAGGAAGAGACTAATTAACCTGTTTCTCAGGGATGCTATGACAAGGATTTCTCCATTTGGAGGGAGACTATGATGTCATGTCTAATGTCCTTTCAGTCCTAAGAATTATTTTACCCAAGGAGTTTCTCTGCCACTATTATCTCCAACATATCTTTGACACGCAGCTTAGAGAGTCTGGTCTTCTTAATTATCTTTGCAAGTGTTTATGACTTAGCTCCCTAGCTGGATTGTAAAGCTACTTAACAACAGGGATTGTCTATTGAATGTCTTTGTCACATGGCATGTAAACGCTTGGTAAACACTCAATGATTGCCTGATATAACACCCCACGCTTTGACTCTTCCCACAGAGGGATGAGAGATTGGGAGAGAGGGTGAAGAATGATCATTGTCCTTAAAAAGCAGAAATCTGGCCCCATTTCTGCCCATCTTTTCTCATCTCTCATCCCATAGGCAACTGGGACTTGGACTTGCCTCTCCCACTTCCTCACCAAACCCTTTGTGGAACTTTGCAAATGACCTAAGAGGGAGAATTATGATAAGGCTATTGGAGAATTACAATAAGGCTGTTGGTTTCCGCGGAACATAATGCCATAAGCTTCTCTGCCCTTTGTGATTGACAGATGGACGGATGGATGGATGGATAGATGCATGGATGATGGACTGTCAAGTAATGTCAGTTAGAGACACAAATGCTTTTTACCGTCCCCCCTGCTCACTTGTCCTATTCCCTAGTAGTCTGGGGAACATGGCACCTGCCCAGTCCCAGAGTGAATCTAAGGTCAGTATTTTCTGCAGCTGGGTTTTCTTAGATGTTCAAGCTAGTACCAGCAAATTAAATCTACTGAAAAGCAGAGACTTCCATCTTATCTTTTCAAACAGGGCCACACTCACAATGCTATCAGCCCCTGCTCTCACTCTGGCTCTCTGACTGTAGGCTGGCTTCAGGCATCAGAGGGTGTTCTGTGCTGGGGCTCTTCAGACACACTCTCTCTTGCATTCACTTCTCCAAGCCTAGGATGAACTCCATGGGACACCAAAGACATCTGACCCCAGCACTGTTTATCTGGCTGTCAAACCACTAATAATGTAGTCAATGACAGTAGCTGCAGAGCGGGGGCCTAGTACCTGGCCTCTGCCAAGGCTTTACGGGTGACTCTCTCCCCCTTTGACAAACACTTATTAACATCCCCACCTTCTTATTATCCATACTGTGTCAAAGACATTTTGAAATCTGTAGGCTTTTCTTCTTGCCTGTCCTGGAGCCAATTACAGAGATTGCTGCAGGCCTGACCCACTCTGACCATACAGTATAAATTCAGTTCAGATGCCTGGAGAAATGAGTTGGAAGTTCCAGGCATCAGAGTTCCAGGCCCCCAGGATCTGCAGGTCAGTGGTGGACAGGCAGTCCATCTCTTTCTTTCTTTTCTTCTTCTTTCTGTCAATATTTCTGATATTCACACAACCCTGCCCCCGCTTCACTCCTCCTGGCAAGATCTCTAGGTAACAAGGTAGCCCCTCCACAGAACATGCTAAATAAGTCTAGGACCATATAGAGGGATTTGGGGAGAAGTTATAGGCTAAGTCAAATCAAGATTTTAAAATATTTAGAACCACAAATTTTAGCAAGTAAACTCAGAAGAAATCATGTAGGCCAGGGGTATTCAAACAGTGTCTGGTGAAGCTTGGGAGTTCCTCAGTTCCCTGGAAGTCCCCCAGTGTCTGCTTCAGTAAGCAAGAGAAATACTAGCAGGGTTCTAGGGTCTGCATCACTCCCTGCTTCAGCAAAAACAGGTCTCCTTTATCTGCTCTTTAGGTTTCTGTGTAAAATTTTATTGTGGAAGTTAAAACTGTTTTGAAAGATACTGACCTTGTCCAACCTCCCATTCCAATGATGATAAATTTGGAGTCCCAGGGACAAAAGGTAGCAAGAAAAATTGGTAGTGGAGCTAGGTCTCTGATTGGCCTTACCGTTCAAAGTCTGCTGTGTGTGTTTCTATGTCCTGCTCATAAAAATAAGGGAATGTCAGTTAAGGTGGTTGGAGAGCCTCAAGTGAGCCAGAAGCCATGCTTCGTGACTTCAAGATCTTGTTAGCTTTTATGAGGGAGACAAATGTCTTTAGGTACAACAATAAACAATACAGTGAAATTTAGTAGGAGTTCAGAGTAAGGTTATGATAGTAAGGGAAAGATTCATTAAACTCTGAGTCATTGAATCGTAGATAGTTTGACCTAGAAAGAACCTTAATAACCATGTAATGCTCAAATTGAGAATTGGAGGGTAAGCGACATAACCCTGTATGTCTGAGCTGTCACTCTGAGCTGATAATTAATTTGACAGAAATAGATACTAAAGCTATTTATACTGACACCATGTCCAGTTATATAAATACAGAATGATCTGAATGAATAGTGTTGAGCAGGAGTGACTTGTGAAGGGGGGGGGGGATTGAAGACAACTCCGAGTATGCCCACTGAGAAGATGAGAAAGAAGTTATGCTGCCCGCAGGGGCGGTTTAGAGCCCATGGAGAAGTGAGATACTGTAATACAAGGAAATCAGGGCCAGATGGTGAAAAAAAGGGCAGCCACTGCAGATTCTGGAGCTGGGCCGGGGTGTGAGAGATGTACTGGGAAAATGAGTCCAGGAACTTCACACAGCCTGGGTCGGATGGAAGGTAGAAAACCCAGGAATATGAGCACAGCTATTATGGCGATTAAGAACACAAAGTTATATTTTAAAGGAGTAATCTATTGGGACTTGTTGATAACTCGGACATAAAGTCAGAAGTGGGAGGTACTGTCAGTGATTCTCAGGTTTTGAATTTCACTGATGAGAGGTATATTATTGTCGTGAGAGAAATGGAATTGGGAGGGATATGTGGGTTAGGAGGAGAAGATGATTAGCTCAGTCTTAGATATGTTTGGCTGGGTGTGATGGCAGGACATCCAAAGGAGGTTGTCCTGCAAACTGCTGGAGATAAAGTAGGACGTCAGTCTGGGTTTGGGAGGCACTAGACCAAGATGATGACTGCAGCTGTAGAAATCAATGAGTCATAGCCCCATGGGATATGAGATAGAAGTGCTCAGGACTTGGTCTTGTGACTCTCCACCTTACAGACAGCCCCAGAAGGAGGGAGAGCCTACAATGGTCCTGAGAAGAGAGGAGACACGTGAAGGGAGTTAATCCACGGCAAAGGTTCCAAGAGGGCAGTGATCAAATACCAAAAAATCGAAAAATAGTCTTCAGAGGTGGCTCCCAGAAGTTGATATTGGCCTCAAGAGCACAGACCCACATGGATAATGTGTAGGAGGAGGAGATGAGGGCAGGACAGGGCAGGTGTGGTGTGCAAAAGAGCACAGAGGAAGCCCAGGGCTACGTGGTGGTGTTTGACCCAGGACAGGTGAGCTGAGGAGGTCTGGGAGAGCTGGAGGCTGTGTCCAGGCAGAGAGGAAGAAAAGAGGGGTATAGGGCAAAGCCCAGCGAAAAGCCATTTGAGGACAATGGGGAGGGGAAAGCTTTGGGGATGGGGTGTGTGGTACATTGGAGGGACCACAGTGGAGGCTGAGCTCCAGGATTCTAGGCTCAGGGTGGGCTAGAAGCCAGCTTTTCTCACTTCTACTCACTGCTCACAATCCACCCAGAAGCCAGGCAGAGGGCCTGGTATGGGAGTCTTTAGGACAGACACTGGAACTTTTGGCTATGCCAGGGTGGGAAGTTTCTAGGGCCCTAGGGATCCAGCTGGACTGGATCACACTGGGTTTCTGCTGGCTCTTTGAGCTGACATTGACAAAGAGTGGGAGTCCTCCACCCACTTGTCCAGCTTCACTGAAGCAGCGCCCAGCCCTTGGTCTTCACACCTTGGCTTGCCCCACCTGAATCGGTATGGCCATGGACCGGGCTGCCTATACTGCTACCACACCACAGGAGCCCCAATAGTTTGACCAAGAGGGAGCATAACACTGAGAGGGCTTGTGTCGAGGTCATGCTGCTGTTGGACTAGCTGGGCTGGGGGGATCATCTAGTCCTTTGCTGCTCAAGGCGTGGTCCCAGAACCAGCAGCTTTAGCATCATCTGGCTGCATGTTTGAAACGTAGAGTCTCAGGCCCCACTTCAGACTGAGGAAATCAGAATCTGCATTTTCACAAGAGCTGCAGGTGATTTCTATGTTCATTAAAGAGTGAGAAGAATACTGTTCCCAAGCCTGGTCGACCTCTGGAATCACTTCTAGCCACACTAAATCAGAACCCTCAGCCCAGGAAATACGCGTACTACTTATCAAGAGTCCCCCAGGGGAATTGGATGGGCAGGCACATTTGGGAGCCAATGACTTTAACTGAGCAATTCATTTAAGAAAATTAAAACTTACTTCATGCTACAAAGGAAATTCATGTTCATTATAGGAAAAATGTTAAGAGATGTTAAAAAAATAAATAAAAATTACTCACAATCTGGGCGATAAGTGCTGTAACCCCAGCATTAGTTTCTACGTTTCTTTGTTTCTATGTATGTGTGTGGATTTAAATGGAGTTATAATGCATACATTATTTATAACCTGCATTTTTCACTTTTTTGGAAACTTTTAAGTCACGAAACAGGCTTCTACAATATCATTTTTAACAAGCACATACTTTCTTATTTACTGAATTTGCCGTCATGTTTTTAGCCAATTACCTATTACTAAACATTTAGGTTATTCCAACTGCTCACTATTATAAAAAATAATGCAGTGAACATCTTTGTGACTAAACATTTGGGTGATCCACTATTAATCCTTAGAATAAGGGCAACACATATGATATCAAAGCATATGAAATGCTTTAAGACTCTGATTCGCAACACCAATGTCCACCAAGAATTCAGACCTTTATCAGTGCCCTGTTATCTTCACTCCCACCAACTCTTAAATTCCAACCTCGATGTCCAGGGATGGAAAAAGACGTGTGCAAGGTGACAGAGTGTCAGACGCAGCACTAAACCTCCCTGGCTGCAGCCCTGTTTCCTCTGATGCCCAGGCTGTGGACTCAGTGGTGCCGTGGTGGTTGGAAGTCCTGCCCCCAGCGTCCATCTGTCCTCCTTGCCTGCCTCCACAGAGGTTCCTCCATGTCACCCTTTCCCCTCTCTGAGCCTCACTCCTTTCTTCCCACCTTCTTTCTTTTGTTTCTCATCTCCTCTTACTTTCTGTTTTCTTACCTATTTTTCTTTTCTTTTCTCACTGGGTGAGAATCAGATCTGCTGGGTAAACCTTGGCCCTAGCCATCCTTGCATTTACTTTTCTGGGCTATTTTCCAACTTCTGATTGGCTCTGGGTTCCTTTCCATGCTAGATTTTGGACTGGTCTTTCTGAAGCATGGTCATTTTAGGGAAGCTCTCTAAGACAGGGTAACCCACTGGGAAGGAGCAGAGTAGCCTGGAACTTATCCCAGGGCACTATCTTTAGATTGTTCTCCCTCAAAAACACAAGTGCTGTTTTTCGTCTGGAGCAGAATGGGGGAGTGTGGGTGGGCTCTTTCTAACAGTCTCGGCAGAGAGTCCAGTCCCTAGCAATGGTGCTTTCTGACTCTGCAGGGAGATCCTGCCTGCTCCACTGCCACTGGGGGTCCTCCCCATAGTGCTGCTCTTTCCTCTCCCCTCTGGGCTCTGGATATCTGACCCCTTGCTAGGTAGGCGGACAAAAGTGTGGTGGCCCTCAGGCCCAGCTGGGAAGTGGGTCTGGGTTTGAGCAGGACTCATCCTCAAACTGTGAGGTAGAGCACACCACACCCCCCTCTCAGGCCTGGGAAGCGTCCTGGCTAAGCTATTTGGGGGAACCTCTTCTCCCCTTTCCCAGAACTGGCACTAGTGTGGGTGTGCGTGTCCCAGGCTCACAGCCCTGCGGGAGGGAGAGGCAGAGCTGCCCGGGCTGGGCAACTTTGGAGGATTCTGGCAGGTGGGGGGCGCTTGCAGCCTGTGGCCAGGCAGTGCTGAGCCCAGGCAGTGCTGAGCCCAGCCCCACCCACCCTCCTCTAACAGCCCTTCTCTGCTCCCCCTCAGGGAGGACCAGACACCCCTGATTGCAGGAATGTGCTCCCTCCCCATGGCAAGATACTACATGTAAGTCGTCCTGGCATGTCCCACTTTCCCAATCAGGGGGTCTGGGGATCACATGGGAAGAGGGAGGAAGGCTGAGTCAGAGGGATGAGGCTCTTCTCACCTTAGAAACCTCAAGAGCCCCATAATTAAGCTTCATTACTACTGCAATTACAATAGCTCTCTTTTCCGAGCATCTGCAAGATGCCAGCGTTCTTCTGTCCTGCCTCTATCCTAAAAATCTATAAGGGGAGTGTTCCTAACCTCTTTTTATAGATCTGGAAACTGAGGCCCAAAGATGTTAAACAACTTCCCCCACAGCTACCAAAAGGGATCAGATGCCACATCCTCTGTGCTGCTAGAGACTATGTTGAATCTCAACGACAGCATAAATCTTTGGAGGCCTCTGCAGCCTTGACTCCCAGTCTGGGCTTCCAGCTCTTACTTGGATCTTACTTCACTCAAGATTTGCATCCTTAGTATAGTTCACTGTGATGTCCTAAACTCCCTCAAGCCCCTTGAGGAATGAGATAAGGCATAATAAAACAAAATAGAATTGATCTTGAGGATGCACTTCCTCCATTCCTCCCATGGGCAATGTGCTGTCCTGGACAAGGTGTGGGGCAGTCCTGGCCTCCAGGAAGGAACAGCCTGGCCAAGAAGCACACAAGTGACAAAGCGGGTGTCAGTGCTCTAGGGCACCAGGCTTGGGCTCTGGTCTGCCATATGCACGTTGCTGGTGAGCACGTTGTCAGGTCCTGCTATTGAGGATGGAGGGGGAATGGTGTGGGCAAGCCCAGNCCAGGCTCGCAGCCCTGCGGGAGGGAGAGGCAGAGCTGCCCGGGCTGGGCAACTTTGGAGGATTCTGGCAGGTGGGGGGTGCTTGCAGCCTGTGGCCGGGCAGTGCTGAGCCCAGCGCTTGTCTGCCCCCAGCCCCACCCACCCTCCTCTAACAGCCCTTCTCTGCTCCCCCTCAGGGAGGACCAGACACCCCTGATTGCAGGAATGTGCTCCCTCCCCATGGCAAGATACTACATGTAAGTCGTCCTGGCATGTCCCACTTTCCCAATCAGGGGGTCTGGGGATCACATGGGAAGAAGGAGGAAGGCTGAGTCAGAGGGATGAGGCTCTTCTCACCTTAGAAACCTCAAGAGCCCCATAATTAAGCTTCATTACTACTGCAATTACAATAGCTCTCTTTTCCGAGCATCTGCAAGATGCCAGCGTTCTTCTGTCCTGCCTCTATCCTAAAAATCTATAAGGGGAGTGTTCCTAACCTCTTTTTATAGATCTGAAAACTGAGGCCCAAGTTAAACAACTTCCCCCACAGCTACCAAAAGGGATCAGATGCCACATCCTCTGTGCTGCTAGAGACAATGTTGAATCTCAACGACAGCATAAATCTTTGGAGGCCTCTGCGGCCTTGACTCCCAGTCTGGGCTTCCAGCTCTTACTTGCATCTTACTTCACTCAAGATTTGCATCCTTAGTATAGTTCACTGTGATGTCCTAAACTGATCAAGCCCCTTGAGGAATGAGATAAGGCATAATAAAACAAAATAGAATTGATCTTGAGGATGCACTTCCTCCATTCCTCCCATGGGCACTGTGCTGTCCTGGACAAGGTGTGGGGCAGTCCTGGCCTCCAGGAAGGAACAGCCTGGCCAAGAAGCACACAAGTGATAAAGCGGGTGTCAGTGCTCGAGGGCACCAGGCTTGGGCTCTGGTCTGCCATATGCACGTTGCTAGTGAGCACGTTGTCAGGTCCTGCTATTGAGGATGGAGGGGGAATGGTGTGGGCAAGCCCAGGACCTTTGCGGACCCTTGTATTTATTGTACAAGTGAACCTGCTTCAAACACATACAGTCATTAGCTGACAGTATTATAATCAGCTGTTACTGAGAGTAGAAAATCTCCTGGAGGTGGTGGCATGAGTCCAGAGGTTCTGCCCTCAGAGGTAACGCAGACTCCCTGGTTCCTGGGAGCTGCTGATGGGCATCTTTGAAACCAGCCAGGCAACCGAACGAATAACCTGCAAGACTTCAATGTCCTGCATGCTTGCTATGCTTTCTCTCAGCTTCCCCAGCACGTATTACCCTCCCGGGCTGCTCATTAGAATCACGGCCACTCCCGAATGACTGGAATCAGGCCCTGCTCCAGCTCCCTGCTCACCCTCTATATTTGGCACTGAGAACATACTTCGCCCTGGCCTAGAGTGGGGTGGGAACAATGTCAGATGCTTACTGTCACATAGGAGGGTTTTTTGGTCTGATTTGTGGGTTTTCTCCTGTAAAAAGTCTTCAAAATATCTGAAAAGCAAATCACACTTCATCATGCACTCAATTAATTCCTTTATTAAAGAGAATAAACATCTATGAAAAATAGGGGCAGGCCCAGAAAACCAGGGATAAGGCTTACTGAATCCCAGAGACATCTGAGCCCCACCAGGACATTCCTCCAGAAGTCAGAAATGTCCTTTACCCTCCATGAGAGGTGTTGGCTCCTCCTACTCCTCCAGGGACCCGCGTGAAGGCAGGAAGGGCAGCCTCTGGAAAGCACGAGCCCAGGCGGCCTTCCTCGCTTGAAGGCTGGCGTGGTCTGCAGGTGCTCCTGGGTGGAGTCATGCCCCACTTCTCATGGTGGAGGAGAGAAGAGTCCCCCAAATGCTCAGTGTGGTGATTCAGAGCCTGGAGGCTGGGAGTGGGGGAAGGGGATGGGGTCTCAGGGGTCCCTAAAGGGGGTGGGCCATCAGCACTGCCATCCTGTTCCAGAATTAAAGATGCAGACCAGAAGGCTGTCTACGTGAGAGACAGCCAGCTCTTGGTGGGAGATCCTGAAGCAGACAACTGTTGTGCAGGTAAGCTTCTGGTGCCTCCACCCCTGACACTCACCCACGCTCCACCTAGCACAGCCCCTCCCTTCTCTCTCCCTTCCCTCCCCACTGGAGGCTGGAAGTTCAAGCAAGAGGCAGGGAGCAGTCACAGCCTCTCCCAGACAGGGGCATGATGCCTGAGAAGTCCTGCCTCTTCCTGCAGCCTACTTGCAGGGCCAGCCGGGTGTGCCCAGGCCCAGTCACTTCCTGCCCAAGCCTTTGCTCGCCAAGAGCCTGCCATCTGGGGTCCCCTCATCTCCAGATTCTCTTTTCTCTTTCCTCCCAGAGAAGATCTGTGTACTTCCCAACAGAGGCCTGGACCGCACCAAGGTCCCCATCCTCCTGGGGATCCAGGGAGGCAGTCGCTGCCTGGCATGTGTGGAGACGGGAGAGGGGCCTTCCCTGCAGCTGGAGGTGAGAGACCTCTCCCCTCTCTGGGGGACATTGCAGACCCGGCCTGGCCCCCATAATGCTTTGGCATCTCTGTGCCCAACTGTTGATTCCCCGGGCAGGTCCCCGCGCCCCCTTCCCTCAGGTTTCCACCCCCTCCCTCTGCACCCAGCACCAAGACCCTTGCCCTCCGGAACCTGCAGAAGGCAGCATCCTGCGTAAAGTCCTGTCAAGTCCCTCTTTGGCCAAGCCCCATGGCCTCTGGGGTTGACATCTCCATCAGTGCCATCATCTTGCAGCTGCTGCCTTGCCCCCACAGGACGTGTGCATCGAGGACCTGTACAAAGGTGGCGAGCAGGCCACGCGTTTCACCTTCTTCCAGAGCAGCCTGGGCTCTGCCTTCAGGCTCGAGGCTGCTGCCTGGCCTGGCTGGTTCCTCTGTGGCCCGGCAAAGCCCCAGCAACCAGTACGTCTCACTGAAGAGAGTGAGCCCTCGGCCCGCACCAAGTTCTACTTTGAACAGAGTCGGTAGGAAGGCAGGAGGCTGAGTTCCAGCCTGGGCCCCTGCTCAGGGTCTGTGGTGGGCAGGATAATCTTTGGTGCCCTCCAAAGACATCCACATCCTAATCTCAAGAACCTGTGACTATGTCACCTGACATGGCAAAAGGGACTTTACAAATGTGATTAAGAACCTAGAGATGAGGAGACCATCCTGGGTAATCCAGGTGGGCCCAGTGGAATCACAAGCGTCCTTATGAGACGGAGGCAGGAGGGTGAGAAGCAGAGAGAGACTGGAAGATGGAATGCTGCTAAATTTGAAGATGGAGAAAGGCGCCATGAACCAAGAAATGCGGGCAGTTTTTAGAAGCTGAAAAAGGCAAGGGAATGGATTCTCCTCTGGAGCTTCCAGAAGGAATGCAGTGACCTCCAGACTGTAAAATAATAAACTTGTGTTGTTTTCAGCCATTAAGCTTGTGGTAATTCCTTACAGCAGCTGGAGGAAACTGCTACGGGGCCTCAGTCTGCCTGTGTGCAGTGTTTGATGCGAGGGGTGTGGGTAACATGGTGGGTTCTCTTTGGAAGGCTGCCCACAGCTTCTCCTCCAGTCTGTCTGCTCCGGAGCCTCCAGAAACAACCAGGGAGCCCCAGGATGAACTCAGCTCTCCTCCTCTGCCCATGGATGAAGCCTTGGACTGCTTATAATTTCAGTCTTAGTTTAAGTCTTATGATTTTATACCAGATACTTCACAATGCATTAGTCATCAGCCGGCAGACCAGCACCGTTCGTGCTCTGCTGGCTATGACGTGTGAGGAGTGGGAGGAGCAGAGAGGGCAAGGTGGGGAGGTTGTCTTGGACATATTGAGTTTCAGGTTTTAGTGGAGGCCCTGTGTTGAGGTGACTTGGTATAGCTGGGAATACAGAGCTGGAAATTTGCTAATGGAACTGACACTTGTCCTCAGAGCCCAAACCCTTCTCCACTTCATAGAGGATCAGTGGTGGGGCTCGAGCTAGAGCAGAGAGCCTGTGGTCTCAGGGCTCAGAGAAGGGCAGGCTGCTGTTCTGTACCCAGCCCATCGTGCTGTGAGTTCCCGCTGTGCGGCAGAACCTTCAAGCACAGTGTGTCTCCATCCTCACAACGACCCTGCAAGGCACGCACTCTCACCTGCATTTGACAGATGAAGAAATTAGACTAAGAGAAGTGAAATAACTCCCTGAAGGTCACACAGGCTATAGTGTAGGAGCTCACCCATCTGACCCCACTGCCATCCCACGAATTTTTATTTCACTCCAGGAGCTGGGGACAGAATGGCAAACAAAACCAAACTTTCTTGGAGCTGATAATTGAGTGGGAAAAACACTAAACAAGCAAATAAACAAACAAGAAAGCAAATTAAGGCCATTTATAGAACTAGAACATGAGGGTAGCAGGTATTCAATTGGTGGTCAGGGAGGTGACTTTTTTTGACTTTTCTGAGGAGGTGACATTTGAGCTGAGGCTGAAGAAGAGGAAGGAGCTGGGACTAGGAATTCTCCTGGAAGAAGAATAGCAAATGTATCAGTCCTGAGACAGAAAGGGGCTGGTGTGTTCAAATAACAGCAGAAGGCTGGGGGCTGGAGCCTGGAGAGCAAGGCAGGGCTAGGAGGTGAGCAAGACCAGCAGGGCAGGGTCATGTGGGGCCTTGAAGGCAAAGTAAGAGTTTCAGCATAGTAAGCGCAAAGGGAAGCTACGGGAAGGTTTTAAGCAGAGAGGATCGACGCGATGGGCTTCATGGCTCTAAAACATTTGGGTTCTTTCCCTGAATTACTTCTTTATACCTATGCGTGCCCCAATTCTTGTAGCACCTGGCTGTCCCATTGTAACTATGTACTTATGTGTAGGGACTCTGTACTTTTTTTTTTTTTTTTTGTCTTTTGTCTTTTTCTGTGTCTGGCAACGGATCGCAACCCTCAGTGTTGCCCCCGTACCGGACCGGGGACCGGCAACGGGATCGCAACCCTTGGTGTTGCTCCCGCGCCTTGCTCAGCCAGTGAGCGGGAACCGGTCTGTATGTGGGATCCGAACCCTCGGGCGGGAGCGCTGCCGCACTTCCCAAGCGGCGCACCATGCAGTGCGCCACTGGGCCGGCCCGGGACTCTGTGCTTTTTAAGGGCATGTTCTGTTCAATTTCTGTTACCAGTGGCCAGAACAGCTGCTGGACGTAGAAGGTGCTGAGTAAGTGCAAAGTCTTGAACAGACTGGTGATGACCGTTTGGTTCTAGTTGGACGTTCTCGATACAATGTGAGGAGCTCTACAGTAGCAAGGTAGACAGGTGCCATTGTGGCACAGAGGTGCGGCTGACAGGGAGGGCCAGGTAAGGCTCACAGAGAAAAGGGCATTTAATCTGGGCTTCAAAGAAAAAGCCACTTTCCAGGCAGAGAACAGGATGGGCATTCTAGGCAGGAAAAACAACTCAGGAAGGTGTGCTGGAAGAGAGCACCTAGCACGTCCGGGACCCAGGGCTTGTGGCTGGGGAGTTGCTGAAAATTAAGATGGTAAGAAGGGTGGGGCCTGACTGCAAATACCTTGCAGAGGAGGAGTTTGGACTTTATCCAAGAGGCCCAGAGGAATCATCCAGGTATTTCAAGCAGGACCTGCATTTTAAGCGTGGCCTCTGAGGTCAGCGGTGGACTGAGCTAGATGCTGCTAGGGCCTCAGCTCCTCTCACCTTCCTTCCTGCTCTTCTTCTAGTCCCACCTGCCTTCTACTGGGCACCACCCTGGGAGCAGCTTCAGTGTTCGGATTCCACTGTCAGCCTGACCGCTGCTTCATTTTCCCATGGCCATTTCATCTCCTTCACTTGTGCTAAAGGATAAACTTAGGCACACTAAAATTTTAAAGAGTTTATTTGAGCAGAGCGTGATTCATAAATCAGGCAATGCTAAATTGCAGGGTGTTTAAGGCTCCACCAAGCCTGTGGGGGGTGGTTGGGTGGGGTGTGGGGGGAGGTGGTGTTTGGGAAACAGAAGGAAGAAAAATCTGATTGGTTAAAGAGGAAAGTCCCTGGTTGGAAGTTAGTTGCAAGTCTCTGACTGGTTAAGCTTCAGTTTCGTTTTCTTAAGCTATGACCATTCATTCTGAGTTGGGTTTCAGTTTGCTTAGTGGGAACCCAAGTCACTGGATCCATCTCAGCCTAATAGCCTCCCAATTGATTATTTTAACACATCGTAACTCATTTTAGCTGCCCTTCTCTTGTGAACTGTGCCATGGGCCACTCAGACATACTTAGGCCTATGTAAGTAAAAACATTTCAAGAATCTATGCTAATTCTGTTTTGGTGCTTGGAATTGGAAGAGGACGTAAAGACTTAGAAGACACGGTCCCTATCCTTCAAGGACACACAGTGTAGATGGGAGACCACACAATATGAATAAAAGCTAACATTTATTAACTGCTTTCTGCATGTGCCTAGAAGACACTCCAAACAGCACTCAGGGGGCTTAGATTAAAATTCTGCAAGATTCTGGTAGGAATAGTAATGGGATGTTCTGGCATGGGGGTGAGAAATGGAAACAGCCTCTGACTGGTGTGATTCAGGGATGCCAAGAATATTCTTCTCCCACATCCCAGGGTTTGTCCCTTAAATTCCTTCTCCTCCCTGGAGACCACACCAAAGTCTCCACTCCACAATCAGGCTAGGTGAGCTATTATTATGTAAATACCTGGGAGAGGCACACTTTAGGTCCATTATTTACATCTCAGAGTGAACTGATAAATTGGAGAAAGAGTAAACAGGCCACTTGGATGCAGTGTGGCCACCACTCAATCAGGCAGCACCAGGGAGCTGGGTGGGTGGGGAGGACAGACGCATGTGCCTGTGTGTATACGATGTGTATGGTGTGCATGTGTGCATGCATGAATGTGTGTCCATGTGTGTGCATGTGAGTGCGTGCTGTGTGTGTCCACGAGAGGATCCAGACCTAGACAGCAGCTGATTCATAGAGGGCCTCATCTTCATTCCAAGAGACTCTGGAACAACTTTACACAAGAGGGCAATGTGTTCAGGGTCTCCTATAACCTGTGTACCCTAAGTCATTCCCACCAGGAGTCAAAATCTAGTCACATTTCCCTTTGACCCAAATTTTCATCTCACAATCCAACACCTGGGTATCACTATAAGTCCCTAGGAACAACTGCTCAAGATGTCATACATGAAACTCCACAAGATACACGACACATGTCAGTTCTAGGGAAGTCTAAACCCAGATTTAGCGAGGAAAAAGTAAAAGTGGAGAAAAGTGAAGAAAACTCCAATGAATATAAAATTTTCCTCAATATGATTCTTTAAAATATACAACCATTTCAAAATGAACTTGGCGGAAATGAGCACAATAAACATAAACAGGCAAATTCATGTCTTGGACCAAAGCACTGGCATTCGGGTTATTTGACTATATTTCCGGTTGGATTTTACATTCACCTAACTAAAAGGGTTTGCTATGATTCTACCAAAACAAAGAGTCTACCTATCCCCAGAGCAAATTCCAGTCCCCACCCTAAAAGGCACAGCCTCCAAGCAATCCAGAGACTGGATTCCCAGAGTCCGTTTCTGAGGCCGGGAGCCTGCAGTGTGGCCTTCTGGCTGCAGGTGGCAACAGAGATCAAGTTCTGCACTACCTTTTGGGGACTGAGTGCTTTAATTCTCTGAGTACTTAGTATCTGCTATGTGTCAGCCCCTGTGCCCCGCTTGTAACAGATACGTGCTTCAGTGTGTGAGTGCAGATCTGGATCATGTGGAGACTTCACGAAGCTCTGTGTGCTGCTTCTATCTGATAACAAAGTTTCTTAGAATCCCCTTGATAAGAGGGACATGGCTGTCTAGAAACTTAGAGCCTACGTCTCTTGCACATATGTGAGGCGCAACATATAGAGGATTGCAGACTCAGGCATCTCCTGGCTTCCTTGATAAGAGGGACATGGCTGTCTAGAAACTTAGAGCCTATGTCTCTTGCACATATGTGAGGCGCAACATATAGAGGATTGCAGACTCAGGCATCTCCTGGCTGCGTATTTTTCAGGGAGGCCTATCCTGGTTACTCCATTTAAAATTGCAATACGCACCTCCTCAAATCTCTGCACTACTAAATCACCGATAGTGCTATCACATTCTAACACTCTCTATGATTTGTTTCTTACTTATTGTACTTTTTCCCCCTCTCCTTCCACTACAATGCAGGATCCACCAGGCAGGGGTTTTTGTCTGCTTCATTAATATAGCACCCAGCATGCGCAAACATTTATGACATGTGTTGGGCACTCAGCAACATTTGCTGA